CAGGTAAGATGCGACTGCCTTCAACATTTCTTCAGTGTACAGCATTTCTATTAGTGTACAATATTTCTACACAATACAAAGGGGGTGTTCATGCTCCATCGTTTAAGTCATATGGCTTGTGTCTTTAGTGCAGCTCTCAAAACCTGTCACCAATCCATTCAGGAGATAGATGTGGCTCAGGTTTCCACAGTCTCAACTTATAGCAAGTAGAAGATAATTTAAAAATAGAGTTGGCAAATCATTTCCCAATTCTGTCTAGATAAACAGAGTTTCAAGTCTGGGACAGGGAACCTCAGGTTTCCTCCTTAATATGCACCGTGGACAACCATATGGAATAACGAGTTGATTCCCCCTCTCTCTCTCTGGAATAACGAGTTGATTCCACCCCCCTCTCTCTCTTTTTTAACTTCCTCTGACCTGGAAAAATAAGGTTGCAGAGCTAGATGTTAAATAGGAATAGGCTGTGCCTCTGAGCTTCTTTGGTCTCTGTTTCCTGCCGATGGCATATGCTGTGTGATTCAGAAGGAAGGAATATGAAAAGATTTTCCTGGTGGCTTTATTTCCAACTCAAAGACTTTCAAATTCTGACTAACATGGTTCCTAGCTTAAAGGAGAGGAAGGCCACCTTACCTCCACAGTTTGCAAAGATGATGAGAAAATTGTTACTGTCAAAGTTAAGTCATGTGGAAAGATGAAGGAGAGTTCGCTTCCTTCTCTTCCTCAGTTCCTTGGGCAGATGGGCCCTTGTCTGTGTTATATTCCTGTGACCCGTGAATAGTTAATGCAGACACACAACAGCAGAGGCTGTGAGCTTCTGACCCTGCTTCCTTTCAATCTACCTAGGAAGACTTTGTACCCAGGAAAGAATGGCATGGTGCATTAGGTGCCTATGGTCATATGTAAACACTCTGTTTGAAATACTCTAGTCGTTTAAAAACTAGAAACAACACATTCAGATAGAAATACATTTTTCACCTCCAAATGAGACTTCAAATTGCAAGATATAGAAAACTAATGCCATATGATTCAAACCAGACTGACCCTCTCACCTCCGGGTTACTTATAAATCAGTTTATTTATACTGATTTACTTATACTGATTACTTATAATCAGCTTAATGTTTATGAGAAACCGGGAGCAAAGGTTTGTCTTTCCATCATTTTGCTGTGTATTTCCCCCAAGGTCTAGAAGTATTCAGAGTTAGTCTGTCTGAGAAAGGAGTTGGGGGGGATATAGAACAGGATGCTTGAAGGGTAAACTCATCCCTGGAATATCAGACAGGCAATGTTTGTTTCAGTGGAGATAATGAAAATATTAAAGAGAGATGACTGGGTAAGATATACAACCTGTAAATGAAGATTTCAGGTTAGGAAGATACTTCAAAAGGGCAGAGAACAATCTTCTTGAAATGTTTGCTCCATGTGTGGAGAGTTTTGTGAGTGGATTGAAAATAAAACTTTAAACAAGAGCTGAACTTAGGTTGTGAGGACACCAAATGGGAAATTCAAATTGTATTTGGCATGGTATATGGATCTCTGAAAGATTCTTAGGCCAGATTGAGTGTGCATAGGAAGCAGACAAGGATGAATGATAAGAACTTCATTCACTGTAGGATGAACCTGGGTGGGAGGGTTGAGTCAGCAGCCTTCAGGGATTTGAGAATACATGCAAAACACAGATTTAAAGCAAAGCAAGATAGCCTACTATACAAGCCAAGCCAACATGAAATTACCTTGTAAAAGCTATTTCCCAATGTTTGATCATGAACAAAAACATGCATGGTAAAATTCTGGGAAACTTATTAGAGGATTTTTTGTGACCTAAGTACAACAAGATTGATTTTTCTGCTCTTGCTACTGCGTCCAGGAGCTGAACAGAAAGAAGTAGGCACCAGTTGAGCTGAACAACGGAAGAAAATGGAATGACTGGAGTTCAGTTATTTGTATATAAGCATGTATTTCTGTGGTCTGCATAGGCTTATATTTTGTCAAAGCTGGCCTTAAAGAGCAAATCTTACTCCTCTGCCTCACACCTGCTGGGATGACAGGCATATGCTACCACGTCCTGCAATAACCATGTGTTACAAAATAATGTGGCAGGAATAAACTTTTAAAATATATGGGCAGTAGGAAGCTAGCTCAATTGCTAAATAACTAAGCCTGAAAGCACAGGACATGAGTTCATTGCACAGAACCTACATAAAAACAATCTGAATGTGGTGGTATGTCACATGATGCCAGCACTGGTGGTATGTCACTTCATGGTGGAGACAGGGAGAACCCTGGGGCACACTGGCCAGCTAAGCTAACCTAGTTTATTTAGTGAGTTCTAGGCTGGTAAGAGTCCCTGTCAAAAAAATGAAAAGAACAACAACAAAATAAATAACAACTGAGGCTGTCCTCTGATCTCCACATGCATACCCTGGCACACATGAACCCACAACCAAACCCCCACACGTGAGCACTCACACACAAAGACTCAAAAGGAATGGTATCTAGGACTAAGAACACATCAGGGGCAGAGCGCTTGCAGAGCACGTGCATGGCCCCGGCTTCCAGGCCTAGTACTGCAAAACCAGAACAGAGTTAGGTCCCATCCCTCTCCTTCTGAACCTGGCCTGACCTGATGACTCTCTTGTACCTGCTTCTGCTTAGCTATCTTAGGGTACTCGCTCTGTGGTATATATATATATATATATATATATATATATATATGTATGTATGTATATCCATATGCATACACACGCACTTGCACATAGATGACCATTCACACACTCATACACAAGAAAAGAAAAAAAAAAAGAAAAATTAATGGGTAATATACCCAGTTGACCCTCCTTATTTATAGATTGTATTTAAGCAAATTTTCTACTCATGACACAAAAATCAAGAGTGCAGGTGCTTCATGGCCAATGGCCAACATGAGCCAAATGATGAAAACCAGGTTATCAGTGGAGGGCATAGGTGAGTTCTTGGTGGCAGTCATAGGAGGTGAGACAACACTTTGCCATTTGAATGTCAATTCATAACCTGTTCACAGTGTGTTTTGTAAATACTCTGCATTTTTTGCCGTATTTTGTACTTAAAATATGGCAAAGTCTAGACAAGGATTATTTCATGCAAAAGTGCCTGACAGAGAGTAAAACTATATTTACTCTCTCTCTCTCTCTCTCTCTCTCTCTCTCTCTCTCTCTCTCTTTCTCTCTCTCTCT